GGGAAAAGAACTCTTGTGCCTGATTAGAATTACACATTAAACATCTCAAAAGAAATAAAAACTCTAAAAAAGAAACCTTTATAAAGTTTTCTTTTAAAGATACAAAATTATTCCTGTCCTCTACCTCTTATTGAAATATAAGCCTCATTTCTTTAACTTGTCATTCCAGAAAAACAGATCAGATAGTATCTTATCAGTGCTGAATTTTAGCTTATGTTGGGGGAAAAAAAAACTCCAACCATTTCTAGCAGGCTATCCTGAGGACTACATACCTCTTGTTTGTCATGACTTGTTTCATCTTAAGAGCAAGAGTTTCTGCCTTGAGCTGCTCTATTGGATGGAGACATCTAGATTTTTGGCTTCTACTCTGAGTAGGTTTCCAGGCTGGTCTGTGAAGAAGGCAATATCCACCAGGGGCACATCATGGTGGATAGATTCCATCACACTATTCAGCCCTCCATGAGTGACAAACAGGTGGATGTGGGGGGTGATCTTGGATAAAGAAGAAAGAGAGCAAAACATTGCTAGAGAAGGAATTTCAGGAAATTAGAAAAGCCACAATGTCAAGAAAACATGGTAAGGGATCTTAGAGACATTTGGAAACCAATCTAAAGAGTCAGTTACTTGAAAGACATTGTAGAGCATCCTCAGAAACTCATGGGTCTAAGATCTCAACCAGAAACCAGCTAAGGCTAAGAACTCAGAGAAATTACTAAGATCAGTACATAACATCATTAATTTACCCAATCACCATCTCTCTACATCGTTTTTAAAGTCTGTATGTTCTAGCTCTTCCACGAGAGTAGAAGCACCTTGAAAACAGGAACTGTGCCTTACATTTTAGTATTACCAATCCCTATCATACTGTTCCTCTCATTTAGAGCAAAATAGAATGTTGATGAGGGAGACTTTATCTAGACCAGGGACTCAGAAACTCCTAATGTGTGTTTAAAAAGCACAATTTTAGGTTCTACCACAAACCTAGTAAAATTCATTTGTAGAGGTAGAACCAGAAACGTCTATCTCTAATTTTCCAGTTGATTCTGATACAAACTATGGCTCTACATGTGAGCTGTCTTCAGGAAATAGCAACTGCCCGAGAGGAAACTCTTTAGACATTCTGCAGAACACAAGGTTCTGCAACCCCAATACCCTATCTGGAGGCTTCTCAGCCAGGACAATGAGGGATCTTTTTTTCACACTGGAAAGACACTTTGGCATCTTAGTCTCTCACATTCGTGAGGAGGACTTAGATTAGTGTCTGTGTCTGGGTCCATGTGTAATGAGTAGGTAGCTCAAGGCCACTGCAGCAGGGAGTCCTCTCCTGGCATGCACAGACATTTCCGGGAGCATTTCCAAGCATTTCATGGATGGCATTTAGGTTCCTGCTCACTTGCTAACTACAAAGGGTTATAAATGAATGACGTGGCCCCCAATTCCAGACTTTTCAGGTGACTTGCCTTTTGCTAACAGATGCTTTCCTTCAGCTGGGAGCAACAGCTACCATAAACCCCAAAGAAAAAGAAACTGAGGAGAGCAAGACAGACGTGGCTACAGTCTGCACAGGGAGCAACCCCTTAGCCAGGAGGTCATTCTGAGAAAGCCAATCCATTATTTTCATGTTGGCTGCTTTGACAACTTGGTGCCAATGAGAGCGATTACATCTCCATATCACCCCTTGTGGGATCTGGTCAAAGACAGCATTCATCTCCTTTAGGACTTCCTCAACCTTTTGGGTATGTACCACGGATCCCAGGGACATAAGAAGAAATCTGTGTCTCCAAATTTGGCAATGAAGTTTTCACAGTCCTGGAGAGAGCAAAGAGAACAAAATCAACTGTTTATGAAGCAGACATTTCATCTGAGCTCTGTATATCCTCCTCAGTTCAGGGTAAAGCATAAATCCCCTTTTCCATAGGTTAACATCCATGGCCTGGAAAAAAGAGATTTTTTTTTTTCTGAGTTTTGATTTGTTCTTCTCCATGATCACAGAAATGCTGTGCCCCTTCCCTCCAGGCTTCATCATTTGATGAGTTAAATTTCAAATTCATTTCTTGTTCAGGGGACAGTTTTCGATAACATCCTCCAGAAGACTGCATTGATGTCTTCACTCACTCTGCACTATGGGCTCCCTCCAGAGGAGCCTAGGAGATAAGCAGGATTCCTAAATAATCAGTCACTGGATCTCATCTACCTCTGCTAGGAAGGAAGCATACATAGGTATCACATGTCACAATTTACATGACATAATCTCAAATTCTGTGCAATTTTCTAAGAATTTCCAGTGACCTATGTAGGACCTGCCGCAAGGCAAGCTGTGATGTGCAAGGGTATTTGTGCTCTCCCAACCCCCACACTACCCAAATGATGCTCTAAGGGTCATCTGGACTGAAAAGGACTTTCACCACTGCCTCTACCTCCTCTGTGCTCCCACATTCAGCTACTCTTCATGGAGCTGAGGTCACTCTTTCCCCATGGTCTGACTGAGTGGTGATGACTAAGTGGTGACTGATATAAAAGGGAGGACCTAATGAAGAAAATAAGGGTACATCTCTCAAGTGTATAAAAAATGCTATAGGCCATCCTGGGATGTAGAGCATCAAAGATACAGAAGTAGTTGCATCTTTGCTTTCCAGGAACACTAGTCAACAGACAAATGTCTACTTTTTTCTGTCTCCATTTGACTAGTCATGGGTAAGGCTAGCAATAGGAATAATAATGACCCCCAGCAATAAGTCATACCCAACATGTGCCAGGCACTGTAACGGAACTCTGAAAATATTTATCCAATCTTCTGAACAATCCTAAATGCTAAAATTGTCTTTCTCTTACACCCTCAGAATCTGAGACTCAAAGAAGGCAAATCACCTGTTTGAGGGAACATGTCATATAAACAGTAGAACTAGGATTCAACTCAAGCTATGCCTGACACTGAAGTCCAAGTTTTTTCTACTGCAACATCAAAATAAGCTAACATTTGGGGAGAATGATGATTCTCATATATTTCTTGAATATCCAAAGGCTGAGTTCATAGTGTTGATTTACTAAGGGATGCAGTATAGACCATGAAGGGAAAAATGAAACATAATAGCTGTCTCATAGTCAATCTTTATTCTCAAGTATTTAGTGTACTTAAAAGCAGTTTGAGTATTGTTTTAAAAAAAAAAGTTACCAGGATACACACATAGAGATTTTTTTTTTTTAAGTTGGAGTCTCACTCTGTTGTCCAGACTGGAGTGCAGTGGCATGCTCATGGCCACCCCAGCATCGACCTGCTGGGCTCCATCTATTCTTCTGCCTCAGTCTTCCAAAGAGTTGGAAATACAGGTACATGCTATCATACCCACTAATTTTTTTTATTTATTGTAGAGATGAGGTCTCGTTAAGTTGCCCGGGCAGTTCTTGAACCCGTGGGCTCAGGCAATTCCCTCACCTCAACCTTCCAAAGTGCTGGGATTACAGGCTTGAGCCACCAGGCCTTGTACACACCTGGAGATTCTAATTCAATAGGTCTAGGGTGGGGACCAGAATTTATAGTTTTAACCAGCATCCCAAGTGAGCTTGGCAAAGATGGGCTAAAGACCACACTTTGAAGAAGATTGATGCAGTTTTTTGATACCAGTATATCTGTGACACCAAAACCTGACCAAAACATCTTAAGAAAATTACAAACCAATATCTCTTTATAAATCCTTAAACATATTTTTAACTTAATCCGGGAATACATAGACAAGATAATGCATCATGATCAAGTGAGGTTTATTCCAAAATTACAAGGTCAGCTTCACAGAAAAAAGTTATTATGTGTTTCATCTTATAATAAGGAAGTATTCCAAAAGCACTTGCAAACTGTAATCTAAAAAATACAAAGACTTCACATGCCTAGAAATAAATCTAACAAATGATGCCTATGACCTCTGCAATGAAAACTACAGAACTTTGCTAAGAGAAACTGAAGAGAATCTAAATAAATGGAAAGATAAATGGAAAAATGAACCATGTTAATGACACAGAAATCTCAATATTATTAAAACCTGCATTTAATACATCCCCCAAACAATATCCCAGCAGGCTACTTTGAAGACAAAAGAATAACTGGATATCTATATTTTTAAAAATCATAGACCCCTAAATCATCTATATACAAAAACTAATTCAAGATTGATCATAGGCCTAAATATAAAATATTGAACTATATAGCCCATAGGAAAAGAAATCATAGGCGAACATCCCTATTACCTGAAAATGACAAATGTTTCTTAGATCATAAAAGGGGGAAAAAAGATAGATAGGGCTTGATTGCTTGATGATTCTACTCATCAAAAGATACTAGTAAGAAAACGAATATAAAATCGACAGACTAGCTGGGCTCGGTGGCTCAGCCTGTAATCCCAGCACTTTGGGAGGCTGAGGTGAGTGGATTGCCTG